TCTGGTCTATTGTATGCAGATGCAATGCATGATCCAATAGTTCATAAATATCCTTTCTTAAACTTCAGTTTAACTCATTGTAATGTCTTGTGAGTTCATTTGCTAGGTTTTTTACACTTGGCAACTATTGAAATTTATAAATCCAAATGTTTGTTTTATCGCAGAAGTTCCAGACCTTCTTCATATATTCCTTCTGCTAAGGCACTTTTTTGCCTGATTCCATTGTTTTTCTTACAACTTTGTTGTTTATGAAAACTGTTATCCAGTGATGTGCTAGATTTTTGGCAAAAGATCGAAGGCCTAACAATGTTGCCTCAGACTCTAATTTTGCTATCTTCACATGTTGATACTTTTTTTTTCAGTTTCTGAATGCTTTCTGTGCAAATAGTATTGCCAACCAGCCAGTTGTTAAAGCATCTATGAACAATGAAAGTATGCATAAAGGTTTCTATGCTGGGCAACCATTTTTCTTCTCCTAATTTTGAACCAACCAATTTGCATCTTCTTTGCTCTTGCTGACACAACCTTATTATCCAATCTCACTTCTATAGCTTTTGATGCATTGTATCGATCAAGATGTAAAACTCTAGACATTGCAATTTTGCTAGTGTGAAAGCTCTGCTCAAGCTTATTAATGTACTTATTACTAATGCCAAAGACCATGCTGTAACTTCTTGTTGTGTTGCAAGATGTTTTAGAGCCTATTTTGCTATTTTTATTTTTTCATCTAAAATTATTACTAATGCATTTACTGTGTCCAGTATCAGACCATAAAATTTGGGTCTTTGTATGGGTTCCCAATCACTTTTTCTACTAAAATTAGCCACCTAGTCTTAAATCTGAAGCAATTATATAATCCCTTTGGTACTTCAAGATATCGACCTCTAGATGGGCAATCCAGATATCATCTACATGGTTTCTACAGTAGATGCCTATAGAATGCCAATGTCCAATTAGTGCTTGCATCACCTTTGAAAAAACCCATACCATCTGATTCAACTCAAATAGTAAAACACAGTAGTAGTACCAGCCTTCTTGAAATCTAAATCCTAGTAGTTTTTGTGCATTTCCTGCCATTAGAAGGTGGTAATAACTATCTTTCAGATCCATTATTATAACCCACTAGTTCTTCTCTACTATTCAAATAAAAGTTTTTAAACCTTCAAAACAGACTGATTTCTTAGATAAGATCCTGTTCAATCTTTGCAGGTCTATAATAAGCCTTTATTTTCTTTTTTCTGGTTTCAGTCTTAAGAATATCAGGCTTACTTCTAACAAACAGTTCATCTTTGAAGCCCCTCTCCTACTTTGACTATTGCACCTTTTTCTAACAGTCTTTCTAACTCTGTTACCAACCAAGCTTTTTGTTCTTGTGTGAAACAGTATTCATATGAAGTGTCCAATAGTAATAGATAAAGCAAGCCTTTGAAAAATAATGTGACACTATGTTCAAGTCAATTTACTACTAGGGGTGACACCTTTATTTTTTTCTTCCAATACACTATAGATGCTGGTCTTGTCAAACTTCCTACTACTGATTGTTTGAAAGCCTGAGAGTAGTTAGCTGTAGTTTCTGTTGTGTAATATGACTTATTTCTCGAGATTTATTTAGGTTCCTCTTAAAAAGCTGTCTGTCTGTTCTTGAAGTGCAATTATTTGTGTAATGCCCCAATCCTCTGCAGTTATACCATATAAATGTACTGTTTCTTTTCCTTTTTATACTAAAAAATCTGTTTTTTTCTTGTTCCATAATGGCAGATCCCTGTTTCCAGTATGGTCTGTTCTTAAAGTCTGACCTATTATAAAAACCATATCCTCGAAAAAACTGCTTTTTGTTTAAATATTTCCTTTTTCTCTGCTTCAAATTTGCAGCCTGTCTTGCTCATTCAATTGTTTTATCATATGCTAACAATCCTTCATTTTTTAATTGTGACAATTCTACTTCAACTTCTTAGTCATACTCTTGTGCTACATTTAGCACTACCATTCTGTTAAGCATTTTTGTTCTTGCACTTTTAATATGATGAATAGCTTCATTTTCTGTTATAGTATTAAGTATTAAATCTAAGTATTTCTGATAACACAAAGTGTATTGTATTCAAACTGATCTCTGAACCTCTCAAACTTCACATCTGATCAGTTTTTATGAATCTTTGACCTCAAACTTGATACTTTAACTCATTCTGAAATGATATTTACAACCTCTTGCAAGTGCTTAATCTCTTACAGCAGTGCCTTTATTCCACTCTATCTCCTGACTCCCTTTTTATCCTTTTCGATCTTTTCTCATGTAATTCAGCATCACTTGTGTGTTTTGGTAACATACTGAATACTGGATTTTTACAGTAGAACATCTCCTCATGATTCATGTCTTCTTCACCTGGGCATTCTCAAATAATTCACCTTCGATATTCCCCTCCAAACTGTTCTGTTCTTTCTGGAACAGGTTACTAGAAATGTAAGACATTCTATTAGATCAGCTTTATTACCTCTGTACTCAAATTTAGCCATGTACAGAGGTTTTTCAAAGCTTCAACAAACATGTGTGAGCAGCACACATCACTTCATCATGTTTCTATTTCATCTGTCTGTTCTATTTGTTCTAAAGCGTGTTTGCATGTTTTTTCAAGAGCCATATCCATAAAAGGATAAAAGTAGATCTTTCTAAATTTGTGTATTTCAACTAAAGGTGTAAAGAACGTTTCGATTAGCCAGAAAATAGGGTTTCGGGCAACTACTAAAAGCAGCAAAGAAAAGCACAACTTCCCTTCTTTGGGTTTTGTGGCTTATTTATAGTTATCATTAGACTCGCAAGATCAATGACCTCAGAATTCATGCAAACTTATTTGACCTATGACTTCATATCGGCATCATTAGGTCCAACATGTCAGGTGATCCTCGCGATAATATCCCTCCTGTGCCTACGTCACAGTCGGTCTTAATTACGCTTTTACTATTTTATATGATAAATTTTATTAATAAGCATCGTACAACTTATAATAATACGTATAATCGTGATTATTAAATCACATGATCTGAATTTTTTGTGGATGGCGATTTAATCTCAGTTGCTGAAATAAGGCCAGACCAATTAAATTCTGTGTTTTACATTACCTCCCCCTCTCCTCAGCGTTCCACCCCTTCTGAAGGGGAGAGGGGGGTAATGTAAAACGTAGAATTTAATTGGTCTGGCCTAACTTACGTAAATTATCTAAGATAGCGATAATGGTAACATTGTCGAGATTACGATAACAAGTCCTGGTAAATTTGAAGTTTTAACTTAGGAATTGCATTTGTGTCAGTTTCTACCGATATAGGGCTTCGGGACTTTGACCAAACTTTATTTATTTATTGGGCCATATTCTTGAGTAGGTGCTTTACTAAAATTATAAGGTTTGTTGCATAAAATTATACAGCAACCTTTCGTTTCTAGATTTCGAAATTGTCTGGATGCCCTATATATCTTATTTAGTGATTGCATTTAGAGAATTTAGGGAGTTGCATTTTAAGGGTTGCATTTTAAGGATTGGAAAATTGGAATTAAATATTGTTGTCTTCCACAAATATTTAGAATTTCATTCGCACTTTCGGGATTATTTTCTTTTTTGTGACATTGAGTTGTTTTAGATATTTATAATTACATAATTATATATTAGGTATCGCACAAAAAAATGCGCGGTATAAATAAGTTTGGTCAGAATTGATTTTTTTAGTTGTTTACAACTTTAGGCAGGTAATAACCTTAGGCACGACAATATCATATTTCTACGCAGATTTAATCTACTCTTTTCATTTTTAATTCAATACATTACTAATATTCTCACTTATAGTTGACATCGAAGTTACTGTATATTGGTATGCCGCATTATTTTACTGATGGCATTGTCGCATATACCTATACTATATATCTGACATAGTTAATTAATAATTAATGCGGCATTGTGATAAAAGAATCAATTTTGCATAAATTATACGTTGTGGGACCCGGATGGACCCTGACCGCTTGGGGGCCATATCCCAAATAGGAAAAGATCGATCGCATCTGTCGCGCAGCGATCGGTCAGAATGGGCTTTTAGAAGCATCAGTCGTATGCATCGCAGAATGTAAATAGAAATAGATAATTATAAATAAAGGCCGAAAGGCCCTTCGGGAATAATAACTTCCCCTTAGCGAATACATAATACATAATACATTGCTTAAACACTCATAGTAAAATTGCTTGTAAACCGAGTATCTTTATTAAACAGTAATTGCCATTGCTATAATATATAATCTGTCCCTAACCAGTAATGTACAAAAAGTGTGTTCGCATATCTTGAATAACCAATTTTGAACCCCCCTACGATTAAGTAAACCCCATCCAAAATCTTGTTAACCACTCGCCAAATCTAACACACCTCTTTCGACCGGAATTAACCTTCATAAGTGGTTACACGAGGAACCCGACCGATTATCGACTGACTCGCCGTTTTATGATTACAACGTACTCTCAGCACAATCCCTACATTCGGCCAAAAAAAACCTAATGATGCAAGGGAATTAATTCTAAAATCGGTTAAAATTCGAGAAAAAGAATTTTACTAACCTGTCACAAATTTCAGACGTGCATGTAAATTGATTCGACTCTAATAGAAGATGGCATAGAGGCGCATTTCAATTCACTGATAGTTGCTTGCTTATTTTTGAATGAATATAATGCGTTATAAATTTAATTCAAACCTGAAATATCTGTACTAAACAAGACTGCTAAATTTGTATTATAGACGAATTTACAGAATTTCATACAATAATCCTATTTAATTAGAACTATGATATAAATTAATATATAAACCAATAGTGCACATTAGATTTTTAAAAATGATTATAAAAAGGATGCGATTAATCTTTTCAACTAAAATCTAAAATAGGAATAATTACTACTTATCCTGTTTATCTTTCAAAAAGCATTAAAATGATGTCAAAAAATATTTCAACTTTTATTATTCTATTTATGGTTTGCATGACCTTTCTTGGATTAACTCGAGCTTTCGGTGGCGATGGTTCTGTCGCTTATTGTGATTTTGTCGGTCTCTCGAAAAGAAGAAGTCTTACAGTAAACGGTCGATTTACCTGGGAAGAAATTTCAGGAAACGTTACCCGAGTTAACGGAAATTGCATAACAGGCTTTGATGATCCAGATATTAATGATTATACATTCTGTTTGGAAGATAAATATGGAGGAATAATATTTGACCTCTCTGAAAACATTCATAAGTGTGTTGAGGTTGTATCACCCGGGATTACACCTTATCAAGAAGATTTTAAAAATGGTATTATGAAACCTGCAAACATTATAAATTCAAGATTTGTCATTAGATGTAAAGATGAAAAAATCGGGTACGGCCTTGTTAAACGTGCTTAAATTACCAATCATGATTGTGAACTATTAATTAATTATTTTCGCTTAGATTATTTTTTAATTGATATTATTTTAATAGCCTATTGAATTTTTTCGTTGTTAAATTATATATTAATCGTTACAAACTCACATGTAGCTAGAGATGGGCAACCTCCCCTAAAAAAATGGTACGAAACTGAGTTTAAATTTTTCCGAATAACAAAATCCTATATTCAAAATTAGAAGTCTATAATCAGCGATGGTGGTACTTAATTGTCGCATTTAGCAATTTTAATAATTTTTTAGAATCGATTTTCTTTTTTTAAATAAACCATAGCTTATGATGTTTTAATTTCTAAGCTATGTAGTCCCATCACTATCTATAATTCTTTCGCTTCGACAAATAGTAGCGAAATTACACTGAAAATATATATACTTAAACTAGACATCGGATGTCAATTTTGGTTAATTTAGTTATATATACATACTAATTAAAATCTTACCCGAAACTATTCTGGCTTATGCCGTAACAGCTTCTGCTGCATTAATATCAATTCTTTCGATTAAATCATTAATATAAGTGACTCTTAATATAAGAAAGTTGCCTGGTCCAGTCAAAATCTTATATCAGTTTTTTATTACAAATTCTTAATTAGGATTTCAAATCTTATATCAAAAGTTTTTTCTATCGAGAGTCACTTGTATTTGTAAATATACTCTGTTTAATAACTGTATTTGACTATTCTACAATTATTTTCACCACATCATTTGTGCTTGTAAAAAAATTACGTAATATTTAAGATTGATAATGGCATTTTTCTTACAGATAAACATATCGTTTCTAAGTAATTAGCAATTATCAAATATACAGTATATATTATTATGGTAAAATGTTAAATATCTATATAATTATAAAAATTAGTAAAACTTAATATTAAAATACCCAATAGAGTATTAAAGCAATGAACTAGATTCTCAATATAGAAATAGGAATACAAAAATACCAACCTCAATAATATCATTCCAGATAAAATATGCATTGTTTTATTCAGACTTTCTTTCATTTTTTTCAAGTTTTATAAACTATTAACCATTTGTCAATTGGTTTAAAATTTGGTTCGATGTTTTTCAATCATTTCTTATTTGCTGAAGAAGTTTAAACAGCTTGAAAGGCATTTTCCTGTATAATATACTATACGTTATTGAAATTTATTTAAATAACACTCATATGTACATACATCCAGTGTTAAAAATTCGTTGTGCATGTATTGTATTTTGCACAAAATTTACAATACATGCACAAAAAAATTTTTTTACAAATTGCACAATTGCATAACTAATTGCGCAAATCGAAAAGTTTGTTAATGGTACAATATATTACAAAATTAAAGTCATCTTCGGTTATACTAATCATATGTCCAAGCAAAAATATTATCGATCATAATCATAATATCATCAACAATCTCTTTGGATTAGCTATTTATGTAATTTTATAGATCAACAATAGTGATAATTTATCTTTAGTTATGTTCAAACAAAAAAATGTTGACCTTAATAATAATATCAACAACAATCTCTTTGGATTGGTTATTTATATAATTTTATAGATCAGATCAATAATAATGATAATTTTAATTTCAGTTATACTAAGCACATATCCAAGTAAAAAATATTATCAAATATAGTTGTTCTTAATCATAATAATAGCTTTAATAATCTCTTTGGATTAGCTATTTATGTATTTTTATTGATTATAATTTATTTTTTATCTCTTAAGCCATTTAGTGAGCAAGCAAAAAAGTAAATATATTAATATTAAAAATTAACAAATTAAGAGATATTATAATAAAGCAATTTTTATATAAATATGTTATGAAGTTAAATTTATGTAATTAGATTTTAAACTCAAATATAAATAATAAAGACAAACATAAAGCTGTTGATAAATTAGAACTCAAACATTTAATCAAAAAAATCTGTGAAATTTAACAAATCCTCCTTTTTCTTGGTTAAAAAAATGGGAATTGTTAGAATATCTTAAAATCAATAAAAATTTGCAGATGTTTTGTAAATTATGTAAAACAGTTAACTTTGATAATGTATTTACTTGAGGAACTGATATTTTCAAAAAAGATATTGTTAAACAGCATGAAGAAAAAGATAAAAAACATCAAAAAGCTAAGCAACAATTTTCAATATTAGTTTTCATCAATTAGATGATAATAACATAAAAATTATATAACAAATTAAATGTATTTATTTTACAGTTAAAAAACATCTTTTTTATTTAATATATATTCTGATCTATATAACTTAGTTATGAATAGTAATAGTATTTCTTTGAACTCTCAAATACTTAAATTTTCTGCACTTAATTTACAAGAATCTTTAGAATCTAAAAACTATAATACCTATTTAAATTCTGTTATAGCTTAAAATTTTGCTATAGCAATCATTCATGTAATTAAAAAAGAACTTATTAATAAAATTAAATTATTGAGAAACTAGAATATTATGATTAATGAAAATAATTCTTTAGATAAAAAACATCTTATTATTGCATTATAATATATGATATTTAATGTATCAATTGTTCATTATATAGGTTTAATTAAATTAGAAGACTGTAGATTAGAATATATATTTGAAAAATTAAAAAATTTTATATTAAATAAATATTTAAATATGTAAGATCTTGTACATTTTGGTAATAATAATGCTTCAATGATGATTGGTAAATAAAATATTTATAATATATATATATTTATTAATATATTAATATCAATATATTTATTTATAAATTATAATAATTTTTATAGGTATATTAATAAAAAGCAACTCTTTCTGTAGATCACTTATACCAAAACTACAAAAAAAACATTTGATTATCTCTCATAATTCTATTAAGTAAACCTTACTTGACCCCTTAAGTAAAGTTGTCCAGCACACTTTTCTCCTTTTAGGCGGTTGTGTTTTATCTCTCAATAAAACCTGGCTGCTGAGAAAGTTCCAAAAACCAAGTTTTTGGTTTTTGTCTATTTACACATAATTTTACTAATTAAACCTATCTTTCTACCTAT